TGGTTGATGTCTTCCTAGTAAAGCTAAGAAGAGAACCCAAGAATTCAGGGTTCTCAGAGCCACGAAGCAGCTCCTAGCATGAGCCATGTGTGTGGTGCCAATCCTAGAAGTGGGTCTAGGTCTCAGGGTTGCAAAGAGAGAAACATGCAATCATAACTGCTGCTTCTCTGCCTAGTTACCGCCCTCTCTGAGGTCCTGTTGACCCCAGGGCCTCCTAAACTTGAGCCACCGAAAGCTTTCTCCCCTGGGTTTCCCAGTCAGGGTTTCCACCGATCCTCGGAGCAGAAGGTGACCTAGGGCAGGATCGCTGGTGGGCAGGAGTCAAATCAGAGCAGAAGGAGAGGTGGGAACATGGGATGCAAAGAACTCTGTGCTAGGTGAGGAGCTGCCATAAAAGCCCTGTGGGGTCAGGGAAGGGGAGACCAGGGAAGGGAAGACCTGTATTAAGAAGCAAAAATGGGCAAGAACCCAAAAGAGTGGAAAGTTAAAAAGACAAAAGGGAGAGAGGGAGGCAAACAAAATAAACAAAGGAGAGGTGGTGGGGAAGAGCTGGGCTAGGAAAGCTAAGGAAAACAGAAAAGACAGGCGGGGAGGAAAGGCAGGGGAGGAGGAAGAAGGTGGACTTTCCACCTAAGAGAAAAGCCACCGTGATGCTGGGCCCCAGAAAACCCCCAGACCAGGCCACTCCTCCCTCCTTCCCCCTGACCACCCCCTCCCCCTCTGCCCAGCCCGGCCCGGATGGTTTCCCTGCGGTCGGTTTATTTTTAAAAACGCCGACGCCGTCCCCCCCCTCCCCGCCCAGCCCTCACCCTGTGGCCACAGGGGCCTCAGCCAAGCCCAGGGACCCCACCCAGCTGTGGAGAGGGAGGTTGGGGTGAAAGAAGGCAGCCAGCCTCAGGCCAACAGGAGACCCCAGCTGGGGGAGCAGAGAGGCCCACAGGGGTGCTGGCCGCAGGGAAGGGGAAGCCAGGGACCCGACCCGACCCACTCAGACTGTCGGGGGTGGGCAAGAGGTGCGCACGTGGCTAAATTTCACGGCAGCCTCAGTTTCCTTCTCTGGCTGATTGTTCTTACCTGAGAGCTGGGGTAGAGGGTCCCTCATAAAGCGGTCTAAGCATGTGCCCCCATACCTGACCGAATGTGTTACCTGCCAGGACCCAGGATTCCCACCTTCCGGTTGTTTCCCACCCTCCACCTCCACCCTAACATCCTTAAAAAAAGGAAAGAAAAGATAAGCAACAATCTCACCAAAAAACACAGGCTTACAGTACTGAAGGGGGAGTCCTTGGAGAAAGAACAAGACAGGAGCTGTCCCAGCTCTGAGGAGAGAGCAAGGGGACCCCCTGGTACAGGGAGTTCACTCTCCCACACCTCCCTACCGCACATCTGACAGCTGGCGGCCCTTGGTTCTGAGTGCCAAGGTCCCTGGTCAGCCTTCTCCCCGAGTTTCTTAGTTCTCCTGGCTTCCCTTTTATCTATTTGGTACTGAGCATAGATACAGAAGCCAGGCCTCACACATGCCAGGCTGGTGTTTTACCAGTAAGCTATATCCCCAGCTGGGTTTCCCATGTCTCCATTCCCACGTAGCCTCCGCCCCATTTTGCCCCCATTCCTGTTCCCCGGTGTCCTGCTCAATCCAGCTGAGCCTCCCATAAAACATCCCTCTCCGACCCCCAAGTTCTTCCCACTGCCAAAGAGCCCACCCACATCAGGCAGAGGGATTCCTGGGAAGGTGGGAAAAGGGCCCAGGTACTCAAAAAGTAGGTGAAGCAAGATGGAGGGACTGGAGCGCCTTTGTGTTAGAGGCATCTCCAGCTCGGGGAGTGAGGGGACTTCCAAGACTGGCCTCCACCACACACTCCTCTTCCCAAGTGCCCCCCCCAATCTCGTGTCTTTGCACCAGGCCTCTGGGCCACCCCTCCTCCAAGCACCAGTGCCACGCTGGCAAGGCTGGCGTGGTGCCTACGCCCACTGAAACTGCCCCTGCCCTGGGTGGACCCTGGATTTCCACATACCTTATTCTTTCAGCTTCCTCAAGACCAGTGTTTTCAGTGATGGCTCAATAGAGTCTAACAGGGAAAGAGCCAGGATGACAGTGTGCCCCCACTGAGGCTGAGCATAGAGTGTAGCACCTGGGCACTTGGGCTGGATGCAGAGTGTGCCAGGAAGCATGATGTCCACCCCTTGGTTTGCGTGCTGTTCTCTCAAACTCAGCCATTAATGCACTACCTCACAGCTTCACACAGATGCCATTCCTCACTTGAACTAAGAGCGGTCGGATGGTCCAGCTCCCAGACACACACATCTGTACTCGCACCAGCCACCCACGTGGGGGCATCCTCAGTGCCTGACGCACACAGGCCAAAGCACGCAGGTGTCAGGGGGCTCCTGCTCCCTCTGACACACACCTCTCCAAAGGGTGGGAAAGTTGACCTCTTGTTTGGCCAAAAACCTGAGACCTGAGTTAGGACACTAGAACCAGAGAGGAAGGAAGATTGAAAGCCACAGCAGGAGGTTGACCTTCAAGGGAAGACTCAAGAAACCCCAATTCCTGCAGAGACCCAGAAAGCAGGACAGAGACGGTGACAGAAACTGCATCAGAGACCCAGAACCACGGAGAACTCGGGTTCCGGGCGACCGTGAGCACTCACTTCCCAGTTGGGGGCCTTGGGCTCCCCAGATGTGCTTGTTGAGTCAGGGATTTCCCCCGACCCCGAGCCCCCATAGTACCCTAGTTCCCTTCATCTCCTGCTCCAGAGGCAAAGGATGGTAGGGTCCCAGCCTGGAAGGGAAGTGGCCCAGTCCGCCCTGGAGCCTCCCACTCCCAAAATAGAGCTGAGTTTGTCTTTGGCTGAAAGCTAAATATTTGTGAGCCGGGCAGGCGGCCTCAGACCCTGTCCCTCCTCCTTGGTTCCCTCTCAGGCCTGGGCTCAGTTCCCCTGGTCAGCCCCACCGCGCACAAGGCTGCCCTCCTCCTCTCCCTCCCAGGCGACCTCCTTTCCTTCATAGCTGCTCTCAGGCGGGCCCCTCCCCCACACAGACCGGCGCTCCAGCTTAGGATAGGCGTCCAGGGGCTCGGCACCCCCACAGAGTGACCCCCCTCAACCAGTCCTCTCTTTCTCTTCTGCCCCTTTGCTACTGTGGCGTCTGCGTCTGTTTCGTCTTTCGCTCCCCGCTGCCCCGGCTTCTCCCTCCTTTCTGTACTGCTCCGCTCCTCACAGTTCGTGGCTTAGCTGACCTTAGGGGTCCGTGCCTTCTTCTGACCTGAGCCTTTGAAGGCCCTGCCTGCTGGCCCTGTTCTCCTTCCCTGTCTCCTGCGCTCTGTTCACCCCTCCTCCAGCCCACTCCTCTCTCCTCCTCAGAAGGACCCTAGAAGTGACAGGCACCACAGCTACTGTCCATGTGAGTTAAGGGGGTGGGATAGGCAGGGATTAGGACCTTAAAGCCGAGGCTGGCTTCTGGGGGGAGGAGGGGGACGTTACCTCAAGCAGGGAGGACGCCATCCTGAGGCTGGGGACCGGGTCCCAAGGAGCCAGGCAGATGGAGAGAGCCGAGCCAGGGAGAGAGGGAGAGGGGAGAGGGAGGGAGAATGGGAGAATGGGAGAGAAGAGATCTAAAGTTAGAAGGGACTGGGGGGTGGGGGTGGGGGGGCTGCTCTCTGTCTGTAGGGATCCACCCTCTAATTACAGCTTTCCCAGCGGAGAAGCCTTCAGATCCAATGAGGAGGGCGAGAGAGGGAGGCAGAGGGTCCAAATTTCCTGCTCCATTTGCTGAGCTCCCCAAGAAGGGATCTGGGAGGGAGAGGAGAGAAGGGGGCACCCAGGGAAGGGACTGGAAGCAGGAAGGGGCATAGGAGCGCGGGGCAAGTTGTCAGGCCTTGGGAGGGGTCTGGCGAAAGGTTAAGGGGGTGGTGGGTCCAGTTGTCCACACCCCCAGCAATCCCCTAGGCATCTGTGGGCCGCCCTCCCAGAGCTCCTCAGCATCCGGTACCTGGGGAACCTGAGGCTGGCTGTCCCAGGCTCTCCTCTCTGCAGGTCTGGCAGGGAGAGTGCAGGCAACTGGTGGCTTGAGGGTGCTGGGAAGGATCCACGCCTTCCCCAGGCCAGCTGCACTCTGGTTCCTACTCGGGCTGCGATCCTGGTCCTACAATCCTACTCTGACTCCAGAGTCCTCACCACTGCTGGCGGCGGCTGCTTCTGCTGCTGTTGCTACTGCTGCCGCCGAGGCTGCTGCCGCCCGCCGCCGCTGCTGAGGGAAGGAACAGGAGGGAAAAGGAACAAACCCCAAACCACTAATTAGAGATCCAGGGGGGGGATGGGGGACCGGGGACGACACTCACACAGACAGACTGGAACACACTGACATACACACTCATGGACAGACACGGGGATGATGCATGCACACGTAGGCACATTCAGCACTACCCGGGAGCACAGCTACTGTCATGAACACAAACTCACACACAGGAACACAGTGACACGCTGGGTGCACACCACATGCACACCCATGCTGGCCATGGGGAGAGGCTTGCCTGCCTCCCCATTCACCCACGACAGGGAGAGCTCTGTGTGTGTGTGTGTGTGTGTGTGTGTGTGAGAGAGAGAGAGAGAGAGAGAGAGAGAGAGAGAGAGAGAGAGATGCCACTCAGGGCAGGAAGGAAGGAAAGTGTACACAGTAGTGGAGGCTTCTGCTCCCAAACCTGTAGGGTCACCGAGGCAGGTTGCAGAGCCAGGCCTAGAGGAAGAGGAGGAAAATGGGGCAGGAGCTGGCACAGGTGTGGGGTCCTTTCATTTTCCTCCCTGTGTCTCAGTTTCACTCTGGGAAGCAATATTTAGGCTCACTTCGATTTGTACAGCAGAACCTGGAATTGGTCTCTGAAAAAATATAAGACAAGAAAAGAAAATTTGAGAAAACAACTTTTTCTCTTGCAGTGCTGGAGATCAAACCCATAGCCTTGCATGTCCTAGCCAAGCGCTCTATCGCTGAGCCACATTGCTGGCTGAAAATTAAGGAAAGTAGGGGTGAGGGTCAGGGCAGGAGGTCATTGGGTCAGCTACTTCATGCCAGCACTTGGCCCCTTTGTAGTAATCCCTCGAGAAAGGAATGCCCTGGCCTCCAGCATTCCCTACCAGTTACCCAGGTGCCATGCCCAAGCCCCTCTTAGCTGGAGAGTTTAATCTGCAACCTTTGATAGATGGTTCTTCCCGTGAGTGACCACACTTCCCTTGGGGGCGGGCTCCTAGTTCCCTTGCTTATTACCGTGCAGCAATTCCTCCACAGGAGAAAGAACCTAAGCTAGAGCTTGACTTCCCAACTTTGAGTTTCCAACAAAATGGAGAAGAGGAGAAGGATGGTCCATCAGGTTGGGAGAAGGGGTCTCCCAAAATCTATTGCCAATTACCTGGGAGAGCGGATGGAGCAACCCCAGTGGTAGAACCGCCATCCATCCCAGGGCCACCAGGTTGTTTGCAAGTTATCCCCTTAAACAGTTCTCTGTCTGCTCCTTGCCCTACCTGTCTTTCCCCTCCTTCCTTACTCCCTAGCAGCCCTCATTTTC